GCTGTGTCCCTCAAGATCTTCAATTTGAAACGTCCCTCCGGATTTGAACCGTTGGCAGAGACAGTTCCAGTATACAGGTGGTTACTGAAAAGAGAAAGATCATTAACATCAACACCAACATTCATCACAGGCTTACCGGACTTAGGAGGAGTTGGTTTGGGTCGTTGTTGGTCAGTGGTTCCCTTGTATTGAGACTTACCACACTTGTCTATGGTATGTCCATAGAGTCTACAATACTTGCAGTACAGTTGTGAACCAGCTTGATCGGGGCTCACCTTCTCGTAACTGTACCACGACTTCTTACTGGAGGATGGTTCAGGTGTCAGCCGGTGGATGAGGCTGTAAGTGTCAGCCGACTTAGCACACTTCAGGTAGTCGGTTTCTTCTTTATCTGCTAAGTAGAGGCGGACAGGAGGCGGCACACGTCTCAAGAATTCTTCAACAAGCATCAGGTTGACGAGTTCTGTAAAAGTAGAGACATGTGCTGCTTCCAGCCATTTCATGAAATACCTCCGTTTCGTGTTAGCAAACTCGAGGAAGGTAGTGGTACTTGCCTTCAGGTGGTCACGGAATTTCCTTCTATAACTTTCAGTAGAGAGGAGGTAGGCGTCCAACACTGCTTGTTTCAGAGTGTAGTAGTCATTCTCAGACGCCAAAGTACTGAGTGTGACTGCAGCTCTACCTGTAAGATGGACTCTGAGAAGTGTGGCCCATTGGTCGACAGGCCAACTGAGTTGATTAGCAAGGGTTTCAAAGGTGGTAAAGAACACATCAACTTCTGCTTCTACAAAGGATGGCATTAACTTACTTGCATGTGATATATTAAAACTGACGGGAAGATTGGCAGTAGCTTGTTGGCGTTGAGTGAAGTGGGAAGTTTCCAAGGCGATTTCACGTTGACGACACTCTAGAGCCAGAGTCGCTTGTTGTTTGTCATGTTCGCGTTGCATCTCCAACTCGCGTCGTTTGGTTTCAAGCTGTACTCGTTCCCGCTCCTGGAGTGTTTCAAGCTGTACTCGTTCCCGCTCCTGGAGTAGTGCAACCTCACGTTCCTGGAGGGCGAGTCCTCGTTCTTGTTCTTCCCTCCTCAAAGCAGCTTCGCGTTCTTGTTCTTCCCTTCTTATGGCAGCTGCTCGTTCTTGTTGTTCGAGGGCTTCCCTTTGCTGTTCGCGGGCTTCCTTTTGCTGCTCACGTTCAATCTTAGCCAGCTCTAGTTTAAGTTTCATCGTTGCCAAGTCAGTTTTATCTGCAATATAGTAAGTTTCATGAGTTTCAGAGTCTATCTTACCTTGCTCTAAATAGTAATCCAGCAACAGGTTGTGTAGGTCATTTTTGTTGGCTTGGTAGGGAACTTCTAGTTGATACTCATGTGCAAGAGTTTGTAGTTCAGTCCTCTTGGCACGACTCAAAGTCCCTATTTCACCTGCTGGATTTGCACGGAAAGTTTGGAGACGAAACATGGTGAAATTAGCAAATAAAGGTACACGAATGTTCAATAATGAAATGTCAGAAACAGGACAACGTGGCAACTGGTACCTATCCTGTGTGATCTTTAACAATTAACGTTAAGTGAAAGATATTAAATGATTAAATTAAATCAAGGGCGCAGGAAATCTTGTACCCGGTACTCATGTAAGAGAATAAGGGCAAGAAAATCCTACTAACAAATGAAACAAAGTTTCGAAAACAAATGAAACAGTTAAATGCTTCAAAAGTAAAATTGGTAGTCCAAGGATGTAGGCATACCTTGCCAAGTCTCTATAGGACATAAAGCAAGTTTTTCCTACTGAATTTAATATGATACTTACAGAATTAGCGAACTTTTGTGCTCTGAAAAAATAAGCTAATTCCCTACCGTTGTATGTATCATCATCTCTGACTGACGTGTAGGGGTGCGAGGTGTCAACTGGTGACGAGAACTGCTGCTGAGGTCCCAATTCAGCAACTAAAGTTCGAGCTAGAGGAACTATGGCCCTCTTTGTCCTCCTACAGTCAGATTGCAGAAGATTGGGTACTCTTGACCCGGGGCAGACCACAGTACCAGGGTACCAATATGATGATCTGTCAGAATGAGAAATATTCAAGGGACATAGATGGTAAATACGAGTAATAACAAGGAGGGAGAGATGACCAATTAAGAGTATGACTGAGGCCTACAGTCACCACGTAATCCAAAGTTGTCTCACCTTCACTATATGTTACTCTCGTAATGCACAATACACCGCACCTTATAAAAAATGAAATTGAATGAAAAATAGTAAAGCTACGTTAACAAAGTTAAATACGCTTACCATAAATTACCACTTGGCACCAGTACCTGAGTGAAGCTCCTAGGACAGGCCCCCATATAACTTGTGACGGTAACGCGTTGGTGTTCGGCTGTTTAAGGCTAGGGGTATGGCCTCGTCACATAGTTATAAAAAAAAATAGAAAAACTGGAACTTCGTCTGTGGTAAGGTAAGGAGAAGACACACAAAACACAAGTAAAACTTTAACAATGAAATTTTAATTACGTTAAATAAATCAAAACATGAAAATAATGCACAAACAAATTCTTATAATAAAATCAATGAATCAAAATAATAAGAATACTTAAATGACAAAATGAAAAGTTACGTTAAGGCAAAATAATAAGAAGTGCAACACAAAGTTAAGTGGGAGGTGCTGGAATATTGGCTTAAAGCCACCACCTCTCTCAGTACACGCTAGAGTCTAGCTGGGAGGTGTGATGGCCACGAAAGCACTGAACATTCTGAGGACTGATGTTGGGGCGACCCCAGACATCAGGTAGTATTGGGGGGGGCGAGGCAGGTGCAGCCAGACCGGCGACCAATCAGCGGAGCCGTAGCGATCAACGGGTAGTTTGGTGGTTGGAGTTCGAACAGGTGGCTGGCTGCATACGTTTTTGCTCACCCTGGCAAGCCTTGCTGGTGTTGTTGTCGTTGTTGGACATTTCTTCCATAGTCTTTTATATAATTGTGAAGACGTAATTATGGAGGGAAGAGCAGGCTCAATCTCTTGAAGGAGATTATCGTCACAATGTACATGGCGTCTATAGTGCTGTCAGTGACTATGAGGGACTACAATTGACAATTGGTGCCTAGTGTCTCTGACGGGCTCAAAAATAGCTCGTCACTCTTGGTCAAAGCATCTTTGCTGACAGAACTATAACATTAAATGAGTCATGAAAAGTTTTATTCTTTCTTAGATAATAAAAGTTTTTATTCTTTCTTAGATTATAAAAGTTTTTTATTCTTTCATGCTTTGTCATCTTTTTATGGTAAATATTTTATGATTTTGTATGACTGAATCATATATATATATATATATATATATATATATATATATATATATATATATATATATATATATATATATATATTATATATATATATATATATATATATATATATATATATATATATATATATATATATATATATATATATATATATATATATATATATATATATATATGTCGTACCTAATAGCCAGAACGCACTTCTCAGCCTACTATTCAAGGCCCGATTTGCCTAATAAGCCAAGTTTTCATGAATTAATGTTTTTTCGTCTACCTAACCTACCTAACCTAACCTAACCTAGATTTTTTTGGCTACCTAACCTAACCTTACCTATAAATATAGGTTAGGTTAGGTTAGGTAGGGTTGGTTAGGTTTGGTCATATATCTACGTTAATTTTAACTCCAATAAAAAAAATTGACCTCATACATAGAGAAAAGGGTTGCTTTATCATTTCATAAGAAAAAAATTATAGTAAATATATTAATTCAGGAAAACTAGGCTTATTAGGCAAATCGGGCCTTGAATAGTAGGCTGAGAAGTGAGTTCTGGCTACTAGGTACGACATATATATATATATATATATATATATATATATATATATATATATATATATATATATATATATATATATATATATATATATATATATATATATGTCGTACCTAGTAGCCAGAACGCACTTCTCAGCCTACTATGCAAGGCCCGATTTGCCTAATAAGCCAAGTTTTTCTGTATTAATATATTTTCTCTAATTTTTTTCTTATGAGATGATAAAGCTACCCATTTCATTATGTATGAGGTCGATTTTTTTTATTGGAGTTAAATTAACGTAGATATATGACCGAACCTAACCAACCCTACCTAACCTAACCTAACCTATCTTTATAGGTTAGGTTAGGATAGGTAGCCGAAAAAGTTAGGTTAGGTTAGGTTAGGTAGGTTAGGTAGTCGAAAAACAATTAATTCATAAAAACTTGGCTTATTAGGCAAATTGGGCCTTGCATAGTAGGCTGAGAAGTGCGTTCTGTCTACTAGGTACGACATATATATATAATATATATATATATATATATATATATATATATATATATATATATATATATATATATATATATATATATATATATATATATATATATATATATATCCACAAGGGCCGTGACGAGGTCCGAGAGCATCCCAGACGCTGCTTTAATCGACTGAGCTATGACATGGTCAAAAGAATTGCAACCAGAAGTTCTACTGAACTTACTTGGATCCTGCAAACCTCTCCGAGAGACAAACCAGGACTTTACAAAATTCCCCCATGCACTCGAGCTATGTCAATAGGCTGTTCTACCTTTTCGCCCTTACTTCATTATACTGAGAAATCACAATAGTGTGATGCATCAAATTAACAAATCCGTTCAATGTCGTAGCTCAGTCGATTAAGGCAGCGTCTGGGATGCTCTCGAACGTAGGTTCGAATCCTCGTCACGGCCCTTGTGGATTTGTTCGTTTAATGCATCACACTATTGTGATTTCTGTGTGCATATATAAACGACTTATTTCCATCAGCTGCAAAATTATTATTACTTTCCTCACTCCCGTCATTATTTATCTATTCTCACTATTAGTCACTATTATTATTAGTCATTATTACTATTATTATTATTATTAGTCATTATTATTAGTCACTATTTATCTACCCTTCCCAGGCGTGGCTATCAACTACACCAACTGGCACTCAGGGCAGCCTGACAACTTTGGCAATGTAGAGCGCTGCGGCATGCTTTATGCTGACGGGACCTGGAACGACGCCTCTTGCAGTAACTCGTACTGGTTTGTGTGCGAGATTCCCCTAAGCCATTGTGACGGCATCCATGATGACATCCGCTGCCTCTACATTTACTGACTACCAGGTTAACTGATGGGTTCACTCCCACAGGATTCCACTACCAGGTTAACTAACGGGTTCACTCCCACAGGACGCCAGGACAGCGTGAACCAAACTGAGTATGATAACGTCTTTAAAAATATAATTATTTGTAACAGAGCTCAATGTCAAATTTTATGCAGATGAAAAAATTTAAATTAACCATTTGTCAAAAAAGCCAGTATAAATAATATTTTATATATATTGTACCCTCCTCAACCCTCTCATCTTTTTTTACCCCTCTTCCCACCCCTATCTTCTTCTCTTCCTCCCTAATCCTTCCCTTTTCCCTTCATTTTACCTCCTTCTCTCTCAAAATATATTATTATGAAACACTGCATCTCTCAACTCAAACAACTCTATGGGGAAAAAACGATATTTCAGACATAACTTTATAAAAATTACATTGAGTGCGTTTACAAATATCATTATTTCTTAAGGGATTTCACTTATGCGACCCCAACCGGCCTGTGACACTCCCCTACCCAATATGAATCATCTTAGAAAGATAAGTAAGGATAGTGCTAAGCATCTGGCATCCATCCTCGGACGAAGAGATTAACAAGCAGGCAGACATTTTATTTTATTGGAATTGAATATATTTTTTTGTATTAAGCAACAAGAGAGCAGTAATATACCAATGAAAAGTAACAACAACTTTACTTACTTACAGTAAGTAACAACAATTTATACAAAATGATGAAACTGATAAATGATAAATCAGCACTAGCTACTCCAACATAATACTGTGCATGAAAGTCACATATCTAGTTGGTTCTTTATTAGGGTCAACAGACGTTTAGACCTTACTACCAATAAAGTTAGGTTCAGCGATGAGCACATATGGGAGTTTGCACCACCTGCTGATTCATTTGAAAATTACTATTATATTTTTTTATTGAGAACTTATTCCTAATTAAGGAAAGGACAAAACATTTCATACGACATTTAATTTGAATGAACAATAAAGCTAAATATTCTGTGTTTCATACTGCAAATAGTATACATTCTCTGCAACTTCGTCCATTATTTAATTTTCAGAAGTGTGAGGTTGGATGTCTTACTTTCAACCATGTGACTTATTATTCTAACTTTAAGTACTATAGTTAGACTGCCACCCTTGAAACGTGACTACAAATTTACTTAGCTAACGAATTTGAGTTGTATCCTACTTCTAGCTGAGCAGGTACTTTGCCAAGGCTCGGAACCCGTTATGTGGCACTGTAACGTGGAGCCAAGTGGCTGGGTGTGAGGTGTATGACAGGGTGAGTATTGAACCTCAGTATGCTAACCAATCTAAACATGTTAATTGACTGTGTATGTGTATGCTTACAAACTCTGTAACGATTTTATAAATTATTTAATTTGTTCAGCTAAACAAATACTGCGGCTAATTTCCTGATGAGCATATGTAACCTATACACAACCACTCACAACATGGAGATGGTGTACATCACCAATCATTTAATGTGTAAAAACAATCAAACTATCGTGTTTTGCCTGATGCTATAATAATATGTGTGCTATAATTTTTTTATAATATGTGAATTATTAGTAGTATCTTGTTTATTACTTCTACATGTTACTGTTGTAACATGTAGAAGTTTATTACTTCTACATGTTACTGTTGTAACATGTAGAAGTTTATTACTTCTACATGTTACTGTTGTAACATGTAGAAGTTTATTACTTCTACATGTTACTGTTGTTCAAAGTGCCCAGAGTTGAGACCACTATTTCTCAAACAATAACATAAGTACTTAGAGGAAGGGAATTTCTCTTGGTATTAATTAACCAAGCCAACTAACCAACCATGGGGTCCACACCTCTAGTTACATTGTAACTAGAGGTGAGCATTTCGGTCGCAGTTATCATAATCTTTTAGCTCAAATTACCACTAATCTCATATAACCTAACTACATTGAATGTCGGTTTTAGATCTTACTGTCATTGACATATTTCCCATGGAACCACACTAAACTGAGGGTATGGTTATGATCTATATTTCAAGCAATGCGACATAGCTAGACGCGCTTTCAAGGAGAGAGAGAGATAATAAGTGGGACTCACAACAAAATGTGGATGTTAGCTAGTAATTTAACAAGCGGTTAGAGGCTTGCATGGTCCAATATTAGAGACTTTGGGATCCCTATGTAATCAACGTATCTTTGTCAGTTCTTCTGTGCATATACAATGTGTTCTCATTATCGTTGTATGCTAAATAAAACATATATGGACTATCCAATTTATATTCCTTAACCTTCTTAATTTTTGTGTCTTTCTTTTTATTTAATTCAGTTGAATGCACGAATTTATATCACTAAGGGACTCTCCTACGACCGTGACATGTGCAGTTGACCTCTAGTCTGTGTCAGCATGTTTACTATCTCCTTTTAGGTCATTCACTCACTACCTTCTCCTCTCTCTATCCTCATCATTACCATCTCCTGATCCTCACTTCTTACTCCTCACTACTTCTGCACATGATTTTCACCTCATGCCTTCCTCCACACTTCCTCCTTTTCAAAACTTCTGGGTACTCCTTTCTCCTCACTTTACGTTCAGTCTTCAACATTCCCATCTAATTTGCAGTTGTGCCAATGTTTACATAATATCTTCATGATATATATTCGTGAATGAGTCACAACGAGAAATTCTCGCGTGCTCAGTTCTCTTAATATAATGCTGACTTATCGTATCTTCAGCCACAATAACGTGACTGAAGATACGATGTCCAAACCAAACGTTAGAAAATGGAGAAACGACTTGATAATGGTCCAGGACTGACCATATCATAGTTCTGAATCCTGACGTTCAGCCATACTATCAAACACATCGTGAGTAGAACTTCCAGGGTTTAACATATTGTCAACCACAGGAAGTGAAAGATAGGTCAGGGAGAGGTTGAGAGAGAGAGAGAGAGATAGAGAGTCTAAGAGAGAGCGAAAGAGAGAAAGAGAGAGAGAGAGAGAGAGAGAGAGAGAGAGAGAGAGAGAGAGAGAGAGAGAGAGAGAGAGAGAGAGAGAGAGAGAGAGAGAGAGAGAGAGAGAGAGAGAGAGAGAGAGAGAGAGAGAGAGAGAGAGAGAGAGAGAGAGAGAGAGAGAGAGAGAGAGAGAGAGAGAGAGAGAGAGAGAGAGAGAGAGAGAGAGAGAGAGAGAGAGAGAGAGAGAGAGAGAGAGAGAGAGAGAGAGAGAGAGAGAGAGAGAGAGAGAGAGAGAGAGAGAGAGAGAGAGAGAGAGAGAGAGAGAGAGAGAGAGAGAGAGTGGTATATATATATATATATATATATATATATATATATATATATATATATATATATATATATATATATATATATATATATATATATATATATATATATCGATGATTTCTGTGTTTTTGTTAAGACATCTCTGGTGAAGGTCTGGTTGTGGGAAGAGATTATATGTTCCTTAATGGAGCCTTGTTGCTTATGCATTGTTAATCGCCTAGAAAGAGATGTTGTCTTGCCTATATACTGAGTTCTTTGGGGCTTACAGTCCCCAAGTGGGCATTTGAAGGCATAGACGACGTTGGTCTCTTTCAAGGCGTTCTGCTTTGTGTCTGGAGAGTTTCTCATGAGAAGGTTGGCAGTTTTTTTGGTTGTGTAGTAAATCGTCAATTGTATCTTCTGATTTTTGTCTGTAGGGATAACGTTCCTATAACAATATCTTTCAGGACTCTTTCCTCCGTTTTATGAGCTGTGGAAAAGAAGTTCCTGTAAAATAGTCTAATAAGGGATACAGGTGTTGTGTTAGTTGACTCTTCAGAGGTTGCATGGCGTTTCACCTTCCTTTTTATGATGTTTTCAACGAAACCATTAGAGAATCCGTTGTTGACTAGGACCTGCCTTACCCTACAGAGTTCCTCATCGACTTGCTTCCATCCTGAGCTGTGGCTTAGAGCACGGTCGATGTAAGCATTGACAACACTCCTCTTGTACCTGTCTGGGCAGTCACTATTGGCATTGAGGCACATTCCTATGTTTGTTTCCTTGGTGTAGACTGCAGTGTGGAAGCCTCCACCCCTTTCCGGGACTGTTACATCTAGAAAGGGCAGCTTTCCATCCTTCTTGATCTTGTAAGTGGATATCAATGCAGAATTCCACTCGAATGCCTCCTTTAGCTCCTGCAGACGTCGGACATCAGGTACTTGTGTAAAAATGTCGTCAACATACTTGCAGTATATGGCAGGTTTCAAGTCCATGTCAACTAAGACCTTCTGTTCGATGGTGCCCATGTAGAAGTTTGCAAACAAGACACCTAGGAGAGAACCCATGGCAACCCCATCTACTTTTATACATATGCCCATCTGGGCTCAAGAAGGGTCCGTCTTTAGTACAAGCTTGGAGTAGTTTCCTTAGAATGTTTTCTGGTATGTCAAGAGGAGTACAAGCCGGATCACGATACACTCTGTCCACTGTCATCCCGATTGTTTCATCCACAGGTACATTGGTAAACAGTGATTCTACGTCCAACGAGTCTCTTATCCCTGTGGCCCGTGTTCCCCGCAGTATGTCAACAAATTCCTTTGGAGACTTCAGGCTGAAAGCACAAGGTACATAAGGAGTCAGCAAGCCATTGAGTCACTTCACCAGTCTGTATGTAGGTGTGGGTATCTAGCTGATGATTGGCTGAAGTGGGTTTCGAGGCTTGTGTCTTGCCATTTCCAGACGCATACCCAGGTTTGTATTCTCCAAACCCCTTTGGCTGGTGGAGTCCGGATTTCTTGGCATTCACAGTTTTGATCAATCTGTTTACCTTTGTTTTCAATTCGACTGTAGTGTCCTCTGTTACCCTTTGAAATTTTGTGGGAACCGACCTGTGAGATTTATATTTATTTAATTTATATGAATTTTATATTTATTTTTAATTTATATACTTCGATAGCAATTTGTATGATGATAAGTGGACTGTATTTCTGCAATAATCTCACAAATCGATCCTCTACACATTAGGGGG